CAGGCGCCGATGTGGGTAGATCGCGGGTGGGTCGCTGGCGGGTCGCAAGTGGGTCGCGGGTGGGTCGCGGGTGGGTCGCGGGTGTGTCGCTGTTGGGTCGCCGGTGGGTCGCGGGTAGGTCGCGGGTGGGTCGCGGGTGGGTCGTGGGTGGGTAGCAAATGGGTCGCGGGTGTGTCGCGGTGGGTCGCGACGGGTCGCGGGTGGATCGCCGGTGGGTCGCAAGGTGGGTCGTGGGTGGGTCGCGGGCGGGTCGCGGTCGGGACGCGGGGTGGGTCGCAGGTGGGTCGCGGGGTGGGTCGCAGGTGGGTCGCGGGGTGGGTCGCGGGTGGGTCGCGGGGTGGGTCGCGGGGTGGGTCGCGGGGAGGGTCGCGGGTGGGTCGCGGGTGGGACGATGACAACAACAACAACAACAACAACAACAACAATAATTACAACAACAACAGCAACAACAACAACAACAACAACAACAACAACAACAACAACAACAACGACGACAACGACAACGACAACGACAACGACAACGACAACAACAACAACTACGTCAACATCAACAACAACAACAACAATAATTTTAAGACTGTTCGCCCTTATATGCTCGAGTGTCCAATAACGCGTATTTCCCAAACCCTCGATACCCGCCCTCTTCGTCTTCGATCGAACCCCTTTTGGGGGGTATACCTTTCTTCCCTGCAGGCCGGGCCCCGGCAAGCGGCGGGGCGGCCGCGGACCGTCGGCCTGGCCAGCGGCAGCGCTGATCGGCGGGGCGGCCGCGGACCGTCGACCCGACCCCAAGAGGGACGGACAGGGGACCGACCACGACGACGACGACGACGACGACGACGACGACGACGACGTCGAAGACGACGGCGACGACGGCGACGACGACGCGAAAGCGAGAGCGAGAGAGAACGACAGCAGGGCCACGAAGGGCACGAAGTAGGCCACGAAGGGCGACAGCGGGGACACGAAGGGAATGCGTATGGGGCCACGAAGAGCGCGAACGAGCGGGGGCCACGAAGTGCAGATAATGCGGGGCCACAGAAGGCAACTATGGGGCCACTGAGGGTAGCAACTGGGCCACGTATGACAGTGATGGGGGACACAAATGGCGACAGCCGGGCCACGAAGGGCATGCACATGGGGCCACCACGGGCGCGACTCCTGGGTGCCTGGGTGTCGGGAGCGCGGCGCTTGGGCAAATTGCAGGAATTTCCGACGGACGGCCATTCTTCAGTAAGTTGCAAGCAAGTCGCCAGCGAAAGCGCGACTCCAGAGCGCCGGGAGAGCGATTCTTGAATAAATTGTAAGGAACTCCCAAGCGAGAGCGCGATTCCTGAATAAAATGCGAGGAAGTCTCGGGCGGGAGCGGAGGTCCTGGCTAAATTGTAAGGAAGTCTCAGGCGGGAGCCGTTGTTGTTGTAACCCGGGGGCCAGGGGCCCAGTTTGAGCAGAAAGACTTTCCCTGTCAAAAAACAGGGTGCGAGCGTCGAGGGGCACATTTTGATTGAGAAAAAACAGTATGCACCGGTGGGGGGATCAACAAAAATTATTCTTCAGAAATGAGGATTCAACAACAACAACAACAACAACAACAACAACTACTACTACTACTACTACTACTACTACAACGACAACAACAACCACAACAACGCAACAAGCGGAATAATCACACCGGATCCTCATTGCAGCCACGCACCCAGGGACAATGAATGACCGTTCGGCCCCCTGACTCGAATTATTCTCCTCCTCCTCCTCCTTCTCCTCCTCTTCATCCTCCTCCTCCTCCTCATCCTCCTCATCACCATCAAGACCACCAACACAACCACCACCATCAGCATCAGCATCATCATCAGCATCATCATCAGCAGCAGCAGCATCAGCATCATCACATCATCATCATCATCATCATCATCATCATCATCATCATCATCATCATCATCATCATCATCTTCATCATCATCATCATCATCATCATCAGCATCGTCATCGTCATCGTCATCGTCATCGTCATCGTCGTCATCATCATCATCATCATCATCATCATCATCATCATCATCATTATCAGCATCAGCATCAGTATCATCATCAGTATCATCACCATCCTCATCATCCTCATCATCATCATCAGGAGCAGCATCATCATCAGCATCATCATCCTCATCATCATCATCATCATCAGCATGATCATCATCAGCATCATCAGCATCAGCAGCATCATCATCAGCAGCAGCATCGCCATCATACTCATCAGCAGCAGCATCATCATCACCCGAAGTATGCGTCCCAGTCGATCCCATCACGCGTCTCTTATCATTGGTCATCCTCATCCTCCCCTCCCTCCTGGTGATCTTCGTCCGACTGCCGCTGCACACCCTGGAGAAGAGGAGGATGAGGAGCAGCAGCAGGAAGCAGAGGGATGGCAGGAGCGGGAAGAGAAGGAAGAGGACATGGAAGGCAAAGAGAGACGGGGGAAGAGAGGGGTCCACGAACCCGGTATGGA